TAAATGCGAACTTGTTCTTTAAGGAACCTCACCAGTGGACTAAATTCACTTGGTAGGTCCAGTTAAACAATATTTGGCAGAGAACATTTCACTTCAAAGGTCCAATTGCAATATTTTTGGGCTTACAGACACTGTGGCCTTATCCGCTAACGAAGCCCGATTTTGTCAGATATTAGGGTGTTCTTCTGGGCATGTTCTTTCNTTTTTTTTTTTACATTTCTGACATGACTAACTCATCATCTTACAGTCACGGTGGTAAAAGTCTCAGAAAAAAATCAATGTTGGAAAATTTTTGCGCGAACGTCCTTAATGAAGTCGGTGGCCCCCACTAGTTGTGGATACTAGTTGTGAAAGTGAATTTACTTGACTACACTAGTTATGGTTAAGACAATCAATAACAATCTGACATTTATCCATCTTTCCATTCTCTGGTGTGAAATGTTCGCGACGAGCAAAATTAACGAAACGCAATCCTTAGTGAAACTCAAAGGCAGCAAAGTACTTGTGTTACACGTAACGTAAGAGAGTGAGTGAAATACCTTGATGTTATACCATTGTCAAGAGAAATCACAGCTTAAATTTTCTGACTTTTTATAAAGGCTATTTTTATTAGAATGAAAACAACTTTTGTGTGTTTGTTGTACCGTTAATAAGTTAACTAAGGAAAAAAATGTAAGGGGTTGATTTAACGGTATGGAAACTGTAGTATCAAGATTTGAAAACATCCATACTGTTTGATCAGTCTTGTGATTTTCTAGGTTCAATATCAGTTGATGGTGATAAGATCCTCAGCTGTGACCAAAGCTGATACTTCTATTTTCTTACGGCCTTAAAAACTTACGTGAGTTAAAAAAAGTTTCTAGATTTTTGGAACTTTTCGAAGTCTTAGAACCTCTGAGATAGTTAGCATAACAGCGTAGCATTTTCTATAACCCGCTATGATGTTATTTCATCAAGCGGTGTGGAAATAAATATTTTTTAACTCTATTCAGCTGCTAGTGTATCAATGTGACCGCTCTACCACCTGTCTTAGTCGCGTTCGTTATTTGGATCGTCACGCTCGAAAGGATTGCGTGACGGCCGAATAATGGCTGCGGAGAACTAAGGACTACTCTACCAATCCAGCCAAGTTAAGCGAAGACAAGTTTTTGGTTAGCTTGTTGCACCTTTTCGGTACGTTACAAAACTGGACGTCTCCTATTTCCTTCCTGTGCGCAGTGACAGAACAGCAACAATTAAAAATTAAGTAATTTTAAATAGCGTGCTTGTGACCAAGCAAATTGCATCAAAAATACAAATTACACGATGAACCAAGCTAAACTCGACGTTTTTTATGTAAACGTTGGTTTTGCCCCTGATTGGTTGAAAAACTGTTTAGACCAACGAAAACAAACGTGCTGTTTTTCTAACTAATCAGCGAAAAATAAACAAAATTTAAAGCAATCGTGAGTTTGACTTGAGCTCGTTTTCCCGCCTTTGTTTTACCATTCGCGCGATACGCGTGATACGTTGGCGCAGTAGTACTCTCGCTTCTTTGAGATAAATCAACTTCTTTGCGAGTCTTGTTTGCTCGAAGCTTAAATTGAAAATGAGGAACGCTTCAAAACTTCTTAAGCTTTTATTATCCAAGGATAATCAACATGCAATTTTTCCCATCAGTATCACTACATATTCTTGGAGACAAGTGCTCCGAATAAAAATAAACATAATTTACG